TGGAAAGGCGGGGTAAAAATAAAATTTATTATTATTATTATTAAAAAGTGGAAACAAATACTTTACATGACTTCAATAGCAAGAATTATCTTCACTAAAAAGTGGAAAGAAAAGGAAACTGAGTATGGATGAATGGCGGATGGACCTCTTGGAAGTCATTGAGATGGACAAATTAACACATGTAATAAACAAAAAAAAATCTTCAGAAAAAGTAGAAAAATAATGGGAAGATTTAATAAATTTCTATAAGAATAACTAGAACTAGAAAAAGTGGTTAACTGTTAAAGATTTCAAATAGTTAACTAGAAGATCTCAACTGAATTTAGGACAACAGGGAACACTGAAGAAAAATGAAAATGAGAAGATGATGGCAGCCATGATCATTGCTTTGCCTGCTCCCTAAGTTTGGGGCTCTTGCATGCATAATTGCATAGCAGCACTGCACTGCAGGGTGTGTTGGGGGGGGAACATCATGGCTGCCAACTGCCTTATGAAACCATCATACAGCAGCCAGCTTTGGGAAGATGTTGGTGACCATGATCACTGCAAGGAGAAGGAGAGGGGAAGGATCAGAATCATACCCACTTACACCACCTGACAGGCTGAGAAGTGGAACTGCGGAAAAAGGGACCTATCACATGATGAAAGTAATTGAATAGCTGTGTGACTGAGAGCCTACTGATTGGGAGCCCATCCATGAAAAGGTGCACTGCATTCTGTATGATTGCAGGTCTCCTGTAGCAAGATGGTTTAGCTGTGCTTCCTGTTGATAAACTGCCCCCCTTGCCTTACTGACACCATGGTCTGGTAATTGTACCCATCCACTGCCCAAATGCTGTGGTAACCTCATTATGTCAAACCTTATGATTTGCAAACAGCAGGATGGGAGTTGAGAGGGGAAAACATGACAAATGAGCCACACTTGTGATCAGACACCCAGAAACCACTTCAAGTGAGGATGACAACAGATGTTATTGTTGGAGTAACCGGCATCTCATCAGGATGCCATCATATGAGTTGGGGAGATGGTAATTAATGTGCTGGTGTGCTCATTGGACATGCCATGGTCAAGACATATGAGATCCCTGGATTGGCATTGCCTACCTCACTGGCATTTCCCAGGTGTTGGCCAGGATGACTTCCACAAACACCACTCCTGTGGTGGTCCAGCCAACCTCGAACTGCTGTGTTGTTTGGCAATAGGTGGAGAGACTGATAAGGATCCAGATGAAAATTGTGATTCATTTCTCCACTGGGTTACACCTCCTCATGATTTGCCTTCTCCACTTCAGGGCATAGCTCCTCCACTATCTTATGAAACAGGGAGCAGGGCATTCTGAAATGACACTGTCACAGTTCATCTGCATATATGGCATTCTCACCAGTCCCTGCTGCTTGGGTACTCCCACCAATGTGGTGGGCATCTGGGCACTCACTGTATGATCACAGCTGCACTTAGAGTGCTAAGAATAGCTACAGTGCTTTCAATTATAGCTGTGTCAAGGCATAGCATGTCCTCCCCTTCTGCTGTTGCTGCTGCGGCTGAGGCTACTGTTGCTCATGGGGTGTTTCATGTGGCTTAGCACACGTCTAGCACATTGCTTGCTGCACCAGCTGATTGCAGCACAACTACAAGTGCCAGCCACAGCTTGGGAGGGTTCTCCATGTTAGTGACTTCTAGAACCATCACTGTGTGCATCAGTGTATCAGTCAGGTGGCAGTTCCAAGGTACAGCTGACTGTGTTTATCCCTGCTTCTTGCTGGTCCTGCAGCCCTTGGGATTGCAGCAGGGGTGGGATTATCTCCTTCCCGAAAGCAATCATACATTTGTGCATATACATGGGAGAAGGGAATAAATGGCACTGCAGCCACACATACCTCATTTTAGCAGAGGCTGGGCTGGAATGGAGGGAGGACTGCAAGGATGGCACAGCCAGTATTGGACCATTGTGTATCCTAAAAGTGCAGACTGCTTGTCCTCCCCATGGATCTAGAAGCACCAACTGATAACCACTTCTTCCTGTCAGTGCAGACAAAGCCCTAGTTTCCCATAGTAAGAAATCACATTGTGGTTGCAGTAAATATATTTATAAAATAAATATTTTCCTTCCCCACTGTACTGTTATTACTTTCTTGTATTCTGTTGACCATTTATGATAGAAGAATGCTATGTCCCCCACCATGGGTGGCTGGGTGAGGGAGGCATTTTTGCCCCTATGGAATGAAGGCAATGGTGGGGGAGACAAAATTGCATCTGATTAACACACACTTGCCCACCCTGATCTAGCATTATATGTAGATGATGCAACATTTTTCTCTGAACTCTTTCCACACACTCAGTTTCTATCAAACCAAAGTTCCTATCTGATCCTTATCCACCTATCTCTAACCATTCCTGTCAAGAATTAGTCCACTTATATCTGCTCCCTGACCTTTTCTCTATTTCTAAGTGTCCCTGTCATTGTAACAGGCAAGCCTCTAGTTTTATATTCTCCCATAGCCTGCCCCACAGCATTTCTAATGCTGTGATGGGCTTGCTTTACTCAAGCCATGGAGGCTAATTATTACTCTCTTCTTCATAGTTGGTTTCCTGCTAAACCCTTGGCATGCATAAAAATGGAGAAATCTTTCTGCTTTACCTTCTATATCTGAATTTTTTAAACCTCAACCTCTTTTTGCTGGGGCAGCAATAATTGGAGAGCCACATGTTGCTCACCCATCAGCTAAACCTGAGGAGAGCAGTAAGAAAGAATATTGGCCTCAATCCTGTTTGTTAGACATTTGTTAAAAAATAGATCTACTGAGTCAGTTGTTGACTTGTGAGTCAACATGTAAGTAAATCCCATGGATTCAGTGAACCTATTCTAGGTAGGACTAACAATTCCAGCTAGGACTAACAGTTGTACTCTGTACAATTCCCAGAATTCCATAGTATTGAGCCATGGCAGGTAAAGTGGTGTCAAACCAGATTATGTCTGCAATGTGGATGCATCCTGAGGGTATGGTCTGACTGACTCTCAGGGGCAGAAGGTGATTCTCTCAGCTTAAAACCGTTCCTAGACCACGAAAGTATTACAATGATAAGCATACATTATGATAAATATATGCATACATACATTAAATCTGAACAGAAGAATCACTGTGAAGGAAGTGTGAATGAAATCTAATCCAAAATCTTCATAAATGTATGGTCACATTCTGCAAGCAAGGAAAGCAGAATGGCCTGGATTCAGGTGCAAAATGCTGTAGGAAGAGAAATTGAAGAGAATCCTTCTTATAAACATGCAATCATTCCTTAGGACGTTATCACA